TGTGTTGCTGCTGCTGCTGCTGCTGCTTGTTGTTGTGTTGCTGCTGCTGCTGCTGCTGCTTGTTGTTGTTGTTGTGTTGCTGCTGCTGCTGCTGCGACGGGGGCGGGTGGCTGCGGGGCTGCGCTGCAGCCGCTGGTGCAGCTGTTGCTGCTGCTGCTGCTGAGGCTGTCGGGCCAGGGAGTGAAGCCGCAACCGCTTTTGCTGCTGCTGCTGCTGCTGCTGCTGCTGCTGCTGCTGCAGGTGATGGTTTGCTGCTCCGCATTTACGGGGACATACATGCACCGCAGGAGGGAAGTGCGGGAAGGGCTTTCTGCAGTAGACGAGGTGAGCCCACTTGCGCCCGCTTTGCTGCTGCTGCTGCTGCTGCTGCTGCTGCTGCTGCTGCTTTCGCTGCTGCTGCAGCTACTTCTGCTGCAGCTGCCACGTCTGCTGCTACTGCCTTTGCTGCCACAGTTGCTGCTGCTGCTTTCGCTGCTGCTTCAGCTGCTTTTGCTGCTGCTGCTAGTGCTTTTCCTGCTGCCCTTACGACTGCTGCTGCTGCTGCTGCTGCTGCTGCTGCTGCGTGTGTGCAGATGTGGCTGAACTTGCTGGTCCCAATGGCCTTAAGCGGGACTTTGCTGGGGGTCCTTTTGAATTCTTTGTCCCCAGCAAGTTTGCTGCTGCCGCTGCTGCTGCTGCTGCTGGGGGCCCTTTGCTGCCGCTCGCTGCTGTCGGCGCTGCGCATGTTTCAGCAAGAAGAGGAGGCCCGCAGCTCCGAGGCCTTTGAAGTTGTTTCTTTCCCCCCGCAGTGTGCGCTGCGGGGGCCCCCCGGGGGGCCCCCCTGGGGGCCCCCCTCTGCCGCCTGGGGGCACCAAGGCGCTGGGCCGGACGAGGAGCTGCCCCACCCGCTCAAGCAGCATCTGGTTCGCAGCAGCAGCAGCGGCAGCCCCACCAGCAGCAGCAACACCAGCAGCAGCAGCAGCAGCAGCAGCAGCAGGAGCGCGAGTCTGCTGCACACAGAGGCCGTGCATGGCGTGGCGCCTTCAGATGCCCTCTTGGAAGCAGCAGGTACACCGAGGGAGCTGCAGCCGATGGCGCTTGCTGCTTCTGGCTGCCGCAGCAGCAGCAGCAGCAGCAGCAGCTGCAGTGAGGGCGACCCGAACGAGCAGCAGCAGCAGCAGCAGCAGCAGCAGCAGGACGCGTACCTCGTCGCAGCTGACATGATCCCCCCGCTGCCGGAAGAGGGGCCCCCAGCCCCCGGGGGGGCCCCCCTGGTGGTTTATTTGGAAGCAGAAGACCAGCTGCTGCAGATGACCCACATTTCTTCTTTTGCCCCACAAGACACAGAGGGGGGCCCCCCCCCGGGGGGCCCCCTGGGGTCGGGGGGCCCCCGCTTTGGCTTCGGCCGGGGCTGGTGGCGCCGGGCCAGGGGCCTCTTTGCTGCAGAAGGTGGGGGGCCCCCCAGCGGCGCGGACTTCTTGGTGGGTCTGGACCCTGGGGGCCCCCCGGGGGCCCCCTTTGGGGAGGGTTCTGAGGACTACCTCGTGCAGCCCCCGGGGGGGCCCCCGGAGGGGCCCCCCCGGGGCGACGGCGCGGCCAGCCCGCAGCAGCAGCAGCAGCAGCAGCAGCAGCAGCAGCAGCAGTGGGCGCGGCGTGCTTGGAGCTGCTGCGCTGCTGCTGCTGCAGCAGGGAGCCGCAAACTCAAGGAAAGCTGCAGGCAGCTGCTGCTGTCTTCCCCCGTGAGGGAGCCGCAGCACCACCTGCTGGCCCCGCTGCTGCTGTTTGTGGTTTGCTGCAGCTTAGCTGCGCATGCATTGATAGCTCGGGGCCGGTGGGGCCCCGCTGCTGCTGTTGCTGCTGCTGCTGCTGCTGCTGGCGCTGCAGTGCAGGTGTTTGTGTCTGTGGAGGTGCTGCGGGAATTCAAAGCAGCACACCCCCACGTCTCTGTTGCTGCTGCTGCTGCAGCAGCAGCAGCCCGCTGGGGCAGCCACGCGCGGGACTTTGCTGCTCGCTGCTGGCTGCTGTGGCGAGCAGCAGCAAGAAGAGCCGCCAGGGCCCTCCGTGCTGCTGCTCGGCTGCTGCAGCAGCAGCAGCAGCAAGCAGCACGGGAAGCAGCCCGGGGGGCCCCGGGGAGCGCGCTGCTGGACCGGGGCCCCTCGGGGGTCTCCGTGGAAATGGAAACAATATCGGGGGGCCCCCCTGCTGCAGCAGGAGGGGGGCCCCCCGGTGCAGCAGGAGGGGGGCCCCCCGGTGCAGCAGGAGGGGGCCCCCCCGCGGTGGCGGGCGTGCCGACGAGCCCGAACGAGCCGCGCGGGCTGCTGCAGCAGCAGCAGCAGCTGCAGCAGCAGCAGCAGCAGCAGCAGCAGCAGCAGCGCAGCAGCAGCGCAGCAGAAGAGGCCGAGCTGCTGCTGCGGGCGCTGCTGGCAGCACCTGTTGTGGGGCTCGCCACGGGGCTGCTGGCTGGACTTGTGGGGATTGGGGGGGGCCTCGTGTTTTCCCCTTTGCTGCTGCTGCTGCAGCAAGACCCTGTTGTTGCAGTGGGGACTTCTTCAGCCTGTGTTGTTTATACTTCTGCTGCCACAAGTCTCCAGTTTTTGCTGCTGGGCCGGCTGCACCTGCTGCCCTGCCTGCTCTTCGGCAGCACAGCAGCAGCAGCAGCAGCAGCAGGCTGCCTCGGCGTCCACGCAGTCCGCAGACTCTGCGCAGGCAGAAGAAGCTTCATAGCTTTTCTTGTTGCTGCAGCAATCGCTCTCGCCACTTTAATGACGGCCCGCCGCTACTTCCACGGGGGCCCCGTTTGACTGGGGGGCCCCCCTCCCTGGGGGCCCCCGGGGGCCCCCGGGGGCCCCCGGGGGCCCCCGGGGGCCCCTGGGGGGCCCCGGGGGGCCCCGGGGGGCCCGCTGGACCCCCAGGGGCCCTGGAGGGGCTCTTTTTCGGGCCTCCTGCGGCCTCGCCAGGGGCCCCTAAAGGGGGCCCCGTCCAGGGCCTTTTGTGGGGCGCTTGTTGGGGCCCCCTTGGGGGGCCCCCTTCGGGGGCCCCTGTGGGGCCCCCAGAGGCCCTGCAGGCCTTGCATGAAGCTGACTGTTTTTATGGGTCTTGTGAAGCCCTTGGGACTCCCAGGCCTAATCCTCTGTCAGCAGCAGCTACAAAATAAGGGGCATTAGGGAGAAGGGCGGATTGGGCTTGACACAACTGGGGCCTGGGGGCCCCAGGGGGCCCCAGGGGGCCCTTAGGGGGCCCCCACGGGCCCCCTGGGGGCCCCGTAAGGGCCCCCCCCATGGAGGCCCCCTGGGGGCCCTGGGGGCCCCCCGGGGCGGTGTGATAGGTTTAAGTAGACTGAGTTGCAGTACCTAGGTTCACCTCGCTGCAGCAAATGTCTTCCCTACAGCAGCAGCAGCAGCAGCAGCAACAGCAGCAGCAACAGCAACAGCAGCAGCAGCTTGTCGCTCTGCTGCTGTTCTAGGAAGGTCTGCTGCAGCAGCTGCCGAGCTGTTGGCTGTCGCTAGGCTTTTTCTGTCTCCCTCCAAAGGGTGCCTGGGGCGTTCTTCGGGGGTGCTGCTGCTGCTGCTGCTGCTACTGCTGCTGCTGCTGCTGCTGCTGCTTGCTGCTGCTGCTGCTGCTGCTGCAGTTGCTGAGGCCTTTTATGAAGGCTCTGAGCCACTCGGTCTGTCCGCGCTGCTGGAACTTCAGGTGACCCCTGCAGCACTTTTGCGGACTTTTCAATTTATTATTATCATTACTTTTATTCTTCTTTTAATTATTTAAATCATTTTAATTATTTTAATTATATTTATTATTATTATTGAACTGTTAGGAGGCTTTCTTAAGGAAACTGTGGGGTCCTGCTGGCCCTTAGCACTTTCACTCAGTCTTGCAAACTGCCAGGCTGGTGAGCCGGATTCGGACTCCCAGGCTCAGCCGCTAACCCTAAACCCTAAACCCTAAACCCTAAACCCTGATGGGTTTTTGTGGTGGGCACTGGGACGCTGAGAGGCGCTGTGAAGAGGCCAGAAGCAGCAGCAGCAAGAGCAGCAGCGAGCCCTGCTGCAGCCCTACTCCAGAGGCTTTGTTCAGAGTAAGCACTGAAATCCAGCGAGACACAAATATATACAAAAGAAGAAGCAACTGCAGCAGCAGCAGCAGCAGCAGTGGCTGTTGCTGCTGCTGCTGCTGCTGCTAGCAGTGCTCGGTCTTCGAGCCGCGCTCCCTCGTGCCTGGAGAGCAGCAAAAGGGAGGCAAGGAGGAGCGACTTTGAGTTAAATGGAGTAAAATAAATTAAATTAAAAACAATTAAAAGCAATTAAAAGTATTTTTGGAGTTTTTTCGGGTTTAGAGGTCACTTGGCGGGGCGGCGGGGAGGTGACCTGGTGTGGCGCGGGGTTTGGGGTGTCGGTACACCCGGCGCCCGCGGTTGCGCGTCGGGGGAGTTTCTTGGAAGCATTTGAAGAAATAAATTAAATTAAAAAGAGATTAGAAGTTTTAGTTTCTATAAGTTGCGTCTCCGAGTGCAGGTGGCGGCGTCAGGGAGACGGGCGTGTCTCCCTAGCATGTCTTCTCCCCCCCGCGGGAGTTGGGGGCCCCCGGGACTCGGGGGGGCCGGGACTTCTTCGCATTTTGCATTAGATTTGTGTTATAATTATCTTTTAGGAATTTGTTTTCTCCGGCGGCGCCTCTGGGCTTCGCGTTGAGTGTCTGTACACCTGAACAGACCCGCTCGGGCTCCCGCGAGCCTCCGTCTCGAGCCCAGAGGCTCCTTTTGGTCTTTTTGAATTCTTTTTCTTTCCCGCTGCTTCCCCGCAGCCCGCAGCGGCAGAATGGGGCGTTCCGCCTTGGCCGTGGCCCTCGCGGGGGCCCTGGTGGGTTCGGGGGCGCTGGGCCAGCTCTCGCAGGGCCTGGGGGGGGCCCCCCTGGGGGCCCCCGGGGGCCCCCGAGGCATGGAGTGCTTCGAATACGGCTATGACTACTTCGGCTGGGACCTCCAGGAGGTGGGGGGAGTGGCCTCCCCCAGCGCTTGCATGCAGGAGTGTCAGAGTTTGAAGGGCTGCGGGTTTTGGAGTTACAACAGTTTCACTCGGAGTTGTTTCTTGAAGTCCGTGGGGGCCCTTGTGGAGCGGCGAGCGGCCCCGGGGGTGGTGTCGGGGCCGCGGCAGTGCGGCTTCAGGTGCAGCAGCAGCAGCAGCAGCAGCAGCAGCAGCAGCTGCTTCGAAGTGGGCGTGGACTACCCGGGCCACGACGTGGAGAAGGTGGAAGGCCGCCTTGTAATGAACCCTCTGGACTGCCAGAGGCTCTGTGCTGGCCGCCCCGACTGTGCCTTTTTTAGTTGGAAGTTTTCAACTCGAGCTTGTTATTTGAAGGCCTCAGCAGCCCCTTTGGCGCGGCGGGAGGACCCCGACGTGACCTCGGGGCCCCGCGCATGCAGGGGCCCCTCGGGGGGCCCCCCCAGCGCGGCGGACTACCCCGTGGCCTTCGACCCGCGGGGGGCCCCCCCCCCCTGCGTCCAGCCCGCCACGGACTACCGGGGGGCCCCCCTCAAGACCCTCAGGGCCCGCTCTGCTGCTGCTTGCTTCATGCACTGCAGGGGCCTCCCCCACTGCGGGCTTTGGACTTGGAGTTCTTCTTCGCACCTCTGCAGCCTCCGCGCAGCCCCAGACCCCGCACTCAAAGTCCAGGGCCAACACACCCTCGACAAAGTCTCCGCCACACGCGACTGCGTCCCAGTCCTCCCAGGTGCGCTATGCATGCATGCATGCATGCATGCAGGCGTGCATGCATGCATGCATGCAGGCATGCATGCATGCGTGCATGCATGCATGCATGCGTGCAGGGAGGCGTGCATGTGGGCAGGGGGTGGGTATTAGTGGGTGGAGTCAGGCAGGCTGCCGTTGGTGTGCGGGCAGCAGTGCATGCAGATGTGCATGCATGCATGCATGCATGCATGCAGGTGTGCATGCATGCATGCATGCAGATGTCTTGTGTTACAGTAGAAGTGGTGCTCAGGCTGCTGCTGCTGCTGCTGCCTGCCGCGCGTCGCTGCTGAGCCGTTCGGGCCGCCTGCCCCTCCGCACCCACCGCTGCTGCTGCTGCTGCTGCTGCTGCTGCTGCTGCTGCTGCTGCTGCTGCAGGGTGCCAGTTCGCGAACGTGGGTGTGGTGGGTGCGAGTCTGACTACGCGTTCTGCTGCTGCCTTCGACGCCTGCCAAATGCACTGCGCCTCCTACTCCGGCTGCAGCCACTTCTCCTTCCACCTCGACTCTGGAGAATGCACTCTTTGGTCTTCCTTCAACACTTATTCCTCCGGCTCCTCCACCCAAGGCCTCGTCTCCGGGCCCGCCTTCTGCGACTCCGAGGGTCTGCTGCTGCTGCTGCTGCTGCTGCTGTTTTTGCTGCTGTTTTCGCTGTTTTGCTGCTGTTTTTGCTGCTGTTTTGCTGCTGTTTTCGCTGTTTTGCTGCTGTGGTTGCTGCTGTTTTGCTGCTGTTTTCGCTGTTTTGCTGCTGTTTTGCTGCTGTTTTGCTGCTGTTTTTGCTGCTGTGGTTGCTGCTGCGGCTGTTGCTGCAGCTGCCGTTGCTGCCGTTTCCTTCTTCGTTGCTGCTGCCCGTTCGCGGCGTTGCCGTTCCTGCTGCTGCTCCCTCTCTCCGCAGCAGCAGCAGCAGCAGCAGCAGTGTTGCGTTGCTGCTCGCAGAGATCTGCTTCGAGCAGTCGGACTACGTGGGCCACAACGTCGAGGAAGACGAAAGCGGCGAAGTTGCTTCTGCTGCTGCTTGCCAACTCCGCTGCAGAGAAAACCCCGACTGCCACTTCTGGACTTGGCTGCGCAGCAGCAAAAGCTGCTACTTGAAGGACTCGCGCGCGCTGCTCGGCCGCACCAACGACGCCTCTTCCCTCGGCAGGTTCTCCGGGCCCAAGTGGTGCACCGTCAGCTACGGTGCGCCGCCGCTGCTGCTGCTGCTGCTGCTGCTGCTGCTGCTGCTGCTGCTGCTGCTGCTGCTGCGGCTGCTGGGTGGTGCAGCAGGTGCTGGAGGCCCGCCTGCAGCATGCAGGCGCGCTGCTGCGTTGCTGCATTCCTGCGGCTTCGCTGCTGCTGCTGCTGGAGCGAGGGCTTCTGCTGCTGCTGCTGCTGCTGCTGCTGCTGCGCAGGGTGCATCTACGCAAACGCGGTGTACAGCGGAACTGCGCTGCAAAGCCTGGAAGCCGAAGACTACGCGAGCTGCGGGGCCAGCTGTGGGGCCAATCCGTTTTGCTCGGCCTGGACTTTCCACCCGGACTTGAGTCTTTGTTCTCTTTTTTCCGGCTCCGTCGCTCTTTCCAAAAAGCCAGTCCGCGGGGCCCTCTCTGCCGAAAAAGACTGCCTCAAGGAAAGCCAGGAAGAGACCAGCTGCTTCGAACAGGGCATCCAGTACGCCCTCGACAAGGTCGTCAAGGTAACAGCAGCAGCAGCAGCAGCAGCAGCAGCAGCAGCAGCAGCAGCAGTAGCGTCGACAGATACTGTACTGCAGCAGCAGCAGCAGCAGCAGCGCTGACAAACGCTGCAGCAGCAGCAGCAGCAGCAGCAGCGCTGGCAAACACTGCAGCAGCAGCAGCAGCAGCAGCGCTGACAAACACAGCAGCAGCAGCAGCAGCAGCAGCAGCAGCAGCAGCAGCAGGAGAGTTTGGGCGTGTGTGTGTGTGTGCGTCAGATTGGAGAGGCGTCTTCGGCGTTTGAGTGCTACCTGCAGTGCCAGCAGGAGTCGAGCTGCAGCCGGTGGACTCTGAAGAACGGGGAGAGCTGCGTGCTGCTGGGCGACAGCAGCAGCAGCAGCAGCAGCAGCAGCAGCAGCAGCATGGTGTTTGACCCGCTGAGCGTGTCGGGGCCCCGCGTCTGCGGCGGCCAAGTGCCCCTCGCCCGCGCCGTCAGCAGCAGGGGGGCCCCCCTGGCCTCGGCCACAGTCTTTTCGCCGCAGGGCTGTTTGCAGCGCTGCATGCAAACCCCCCAGTGCGAGAACTGGAGTTTCTTGTTGGGGGCCCCCACGAACTGTTTGCTGTTCGACAAAAGTGCCACTTTCGAGCCAGGAAGTGCCATTTCGGGCACTCTTCCGCGGGCTTTTCTGGCCTCTGCATGCAGTTTCGAAAATGCTCAAGTTTTGGGAACTGCAGCAGCAGCAGCAGCAGCAGAGTGCGCAGCAGACTGCCGCGCGCACCCGCGCTGCAGGGCCTGGACTGCGCAGCTGCGGCGGGGGGCCCCCCAGGGGGGCCCCCCGGGGGCCCCCGCGACGCAGGGGGGGGCCCCCAGCAGCCAGTCCGGGGGCCCCCAGGGGCCCCAAAACTTCGTCGCATGCAGCTTCTTCGACGACGACAGCAGCCCCGTGGCTGTGCCCAGCCCCGACAGCTTCTGTGGCACTGCACTGGACCCCGAAAGCCTCAAGTTGGAAACTTCTTTGAAGTTCGACTCTGCTGCTGCAGTCTTCAGCGAGTTGCTGCCGCTGGCGGAGTGTGCGGGGGCTTGTGCGCGCAGCGCGGACTGCGGGGCGTGGGTGTTTGAGTTGGGGGGCAGCTGCACGGGGCTGGCAGCAGCAGCAGCAGCAGCAGCGGAGCAGCAGCAGCAGCAGGGCGCTGCTGCGGGCTTCGTGCCCGCCGCGCCTCCCGCCATCTACTTCCACACTGCCTTCACTGCGGCGCCCGCACTCGCTGCTGCTGCTGCTGCTGCTGCTGCTGCTGCTGCTGCGCAGGCCAGGCCGCAGACGCAGCCCCTCAACGGCTTCCGCAGGCTCATGGCCACAGGCGCCACCGCCAACGCCGCAGCCCCTGCTGCTGCTGCTGCTGCTGCTGCTGCTGCTGGCAGCTCCACCACCACTGCGCAGGACTACAACGAATGCTCCAAAGCTTGCAGCAGCGACCCTGCATGCACTTCCTGGACCTTCAAGGCTTCTGCATGCACTCTCTTCACCTTCGCAGGGGCCCCCGTCTACGACCCCGAAGCCATTTCCGGGCTCAGGTCCACGCCCCAGCTTCCTTGTACGCAGCACATCCTCCTGCTGCTGCTGCTGCTGCTGCTGCTGCTGCTGCTGCTGCTGTGATGGCGGTGTATCTGCTGCTGCAGCTGCTGCGGCGGTGGTGTATCTGCTGTCGCTGCTGTGTTTGGGGTGACCGCTGAGTCTGCCTCTGGCTTCCTGCACACTGCTGCTGCTGCTGCTGCTGCTGCTGCTGCTGCTGCTGCTGGACTGGTTGGATAGGAGTGTTTGATCTGCTGCTGCTTGGGGTCCTTCTCAGGGAATTTCCAGCTGGGCGTGAAGTACACAGCTGAGCCTGTGGCGACGTGGCCCGCGACTGCGGTTCCCGCTGCTGCTGCTGCTGCGGGCGCTGCTGCTGCTGCTGCTGCTGCCAGCAGCGGCGAGGCCGCAGGGGCCCCCGGGGCCCCCCAGGAGGAGCCCCGAACCGCGCTGGAGTGCGCAGCAAAGGCCGCCAGCGGGCAGTGCTGGAGCTTCCGGGGCCCCCAGTTCGGGGGGGCCCCCCTCTGCAGCATTTTCGCAGACTGTGCTGCAGTGGAAGCTGCTGAAGGCTTCGTTTCGGGGCAAGCTGGGGGGCCCCCCGCGGAGCCCGAAGACCCCAACGGCGACAAAGAAGAAGAAGAACTCGGAGACCAAGAACAGGGCCAAACTGGCCAAGACCAGAGTGGTCAAACTGGTCAAAATGGTCAAGACCAGAGTGGTCAGAGTGGTCAGAGTGGTCAGAGTGGTCAAGACCAGAGTGGTCAGAGTGGTCAGAGTGGTCAAGACCAGAGTGGCCAGAGTGGTCAGAGTGGTCAAGACCAGAGTGGTCAGACTGCTTGAGGGGTGGTTGGTTGAGCAGCTGCAGCGCGGGGCGTTTCGCTCTGCTGCTGCTGCTGCTGCTGCTGCTGCTGCTGCTGCAGCGGTGGCGGCGGCTGCGGCTGAGCAGGCACCTGAAGCCTCTTTTGGGGGCTCAGCCAGAGCCGCTGAGGCAGCAAATAGCTGCTGCAGCTGCAGCAACTCCAACTTATTTTCTTTTTAATTGTTTTAGAAAGACTCACTTCTCTAGCGATCTCTGTGTTGCTGCTGCTGCTGCTGCTTAGGTTGCTGCGTAGGTTGCTGCTGCTGCTGCTGTGGATCTGCTTGCTGCGTGCAGCTGTCACAGCTGCACGCAGCTAGCAGACCCACTTCTGCAGGCAGCAGCAGCAGCAGCAGCAGCAGCAGGTGCTGCTGCTGCTGCATAATGCACACTAAATACCAACACAAAGTCGGATTCGGCTTGCTGTAGAGCGCATGCAGCTCCAAGCGCATCTTTCAGTCTAAGCGATGCAGTGCAGCAGCAAGAGCAGCACCAAAAGCAGCAGCAGCAGCAAAAGCAGCAGCAGCAGCAAAAGCAGCAGCAGCAGCAAAAGCCGCATGCAAAGACGCGAATTACGGGAGTTAACCCTAGAGTGGTCCGGGGACTCGAAAAACCCCCGGGGTTTTGAGTTTGAGAAATCGTTGCTAATGCTGCTTCTGCTGCAGCTGCTGCTGCTGAGGCTGCTGTCGCAGCAGCAGCTGCGGCAGCTGCTGCAGCTGCTGCAGCTGCTGCAGCTGCTGCTGCTGAGGCTGCTGTCGCAGCAGCAGCTGCGGCAGCTGCTGCAGCTGCCACTGCTGCTACTAAGGCTACTGGAGCACCTACTGCTGGGGCTGCTGATGCCACGCAGCTGCAGCAGTGCCCACTGGGGCAGCAGCAGCAGCAAAAGCAGCAGCAGCAGCAGCAGCAGCAGCAGCAGCAGGTGCACTGCTAGTGTGTCTTCGTCAAGACTTCCCTTGGCCTCTTGCGCAGCTGGCGCTGCCGTAGCAAGCCCCAGCTGCTGCTGTCGCTGAGGTTTTCCGCGCTATCCATTCTGCTGCTGCTGCTGCTGCTGTAGCTCTCGCTGTCGCTGCTGCTGCTGCCGCTGCTGCTGCCGCTGCTGCTGCTGCTGCTGCTGCTGCTTCTGGGGCCCTCACCAATGCTGCTGCTGCTGCTGCTGCTGCGCAGCGCCAGCACCCGTGCTGCCAGCCGCCACGCTGCAGTGTATATCCACTTCCGAGCAGCAGCAGCAGCTTTTCGTGTCTGGGGCCCCGCCTGCTGCATGGCCTTTTCCCAGCTGCTTCTCTTGAGGGCGCCTCTGGAGGCAGCTGCAGCAGCAGCAGCAGCAGCTGCTGCTGCTGCTGCTGCTGCAGGACGCACAGTTTCCCTGAAATATGCAGACAATCTGCGCTTGTGCAGGTACGCAAACAGCAGCAGCAAAGCAGCAACAGAAGCCCCCAGCAAAAAGGCCCCCCAGGAGCCGTCGGGGGTCTCGACATCCTCCAGGTGCTGCACGTAGGTGAGAGCTGCAGCAGCAGCAGCAGCAGCAGCAGCAGCAGCAGCAGCAGCACAGGGGGAAACGCGCGGTGGAGAAAGGGAAAGAAAGAGACAATAAAAACAAAGACACATAAAAGCAGACACTGAGCCTACAGCAGTGCAGAGCTGCATCAATCTTGTGCAAGCAGCAGCAATGCAAGGAGAGCGGCTACTGCTGCTGCTGCTGCTGCTGCTGCTGCTGCTGCTGCTGTTCCTGCTGCTGTTGCTGCTGCTGCAGCAAGCCACCGCAGGTATAGGGGCGACAGGTGCGGCAACCCCACACGCAGCAGTAACAGCAGCACGCAGCCCAGGAGAAGCAGCAACAGCAGCAGCAGCAGCAGCCGCAGCAGCAGCAGCGGCAGCAGCAGGTCCACTCACTCTGCTGCAGGGCGGAGAGCTCTATCTCGGTGTAGCTGTCCACTGCAAAAGCTGCTGCTGCGTCTTTGCTGCTGCTGCTGCGCCTGCACAGCATGGGGAGGCCTCGGCCGCAGAAAGCAGCCATGGAGCTGTTGTCCATGTGGCCCCAGCCGCCTGAAACGCAGCAGCAGCAGCAGCAGCAGCAGCAGCAGCAGCAGCAGCAGCAGCAGCAGAAGGTGAGCCAAAGAGCCGAAGGCAGGAAGGGAAAAAGCGACAAAAAGGGGAAAAAGACAAAAAACGACAAAAGAGAATAAAACAAAAGAAACAAAGAATGTAAAAGGAGAAAAAAGAAATAAAAGAAACAAAAGAAATAAAAAATGTTAAAAAGAAATAAAAGTTTAAAAGAAATAAAGAGATTAAAAAGAAATACGGAGAGAAGCAAAGAAAGCAGCAAAGGAAAAGTTTTGCCTGCTGCTGCAGCAATTAGCTGCTGCAGCAGCTAATTGCTGCTGCAGCAGCAAATCGAGAAGTGTCTCACAATGATGAAATTAATTCTTCAAAAGAATAACAACTGTTTAATACTTCGAATTAAATGTAATTAATTAATTAATTAATTAATTAATTAATATTTTTTAATTTTAATTAAATTTAATTCTTCAAATTGAATTATTTTAATTCAAAAACATTACCTGTGCAATCCACATAGCCCAAAGAGGCCAGGCCAACGCGCGTGCTTCCGGCTTGGCTGCTGTACTTTATCATCTGCAGCAGCAGCAGCAGCAGCAGCAGCAGCAGCAGCAGCAGCAGCAGCAGCAGCAGAAGCAACAACGCAGCAACAGATGAGCTAAGTACGGATAGGCGAAGGTGTGCTTAACCCGAAATGTGGCAAAAGCAGTGTCAGCAGCAGCAGCAGCCGCAGCAAAAGCAGCAGCAGCAGCAATTGCAGCAGCAGCAGCAGCAGCAGCAGCAGCAACGGCAGCAGCAGCAGTTAGCGAACCTGGGGAGGCTTGTTGGCCAACTTGAGAGTCGTAAAGCAGTACTGTCCCATTTGCTGCCTCCACTGCGAAAAGCTGTAAGCAGCTTCTGCTGCAGTGCATGCAACGAGAGGTTGCTGCTGCTGCTGCTGCTGCTGCTCCTCTTCTTTGAAAATCTGCTGCAGCTCCTCCGTCTCCTCCTGCGTCTCCTTGCTCTTTAAAGTGCACACGCAGCTGCCTTTCGTGTACACGCTCTGAGGCCTGCAGCAGCAGCAGCAGCAGCAGCAGCAGCAGCGGCAGCAATGGCGGCAGAGGCAGCAGAACACCATGAGCAGCAGCAGGTTGAGCAGCGCCCCTCGCAGCAACAGCAGCAACAGCAGCAGCCGCGACAGCACAAGCATCAGCAGCAGCAGCAAGACGAGAAGCAGCCACAAGCGCTGAAGCAGCAGCATCAGCAACACTCACAGCAGCAGCACACATAGCAGCAGCAGCACACATAACAGCAGCAGCACACACAGCAGCAGCAGCACACATAGCAGCAGCAGCAGCAGCGCACACAGCAGCAGCAGCAGCAGCGCACACAGCAGCAGCAGCACCACAGCACACAAGAGTAGCACACACAGCAGCAGCAGCAGCAGCACACACAGCAAAAGCAGCAGCAGCACACACGCAGCAGCACACACAGCAGCAGCAGCACACGTAGCAGCAGCAGCAGCAGCAGCAGCAGCAGCAGCAGCAGCAGGAGCTGACGTGCGGGGGTCTGCGTAGGCCCAGAAGCAGGGCTGGCGGGCGACGAGGGAGGGGCAAGCAGCAGCAGCAGCAAAACAGCTGCGGCGCTCTTCTAAGTGGTAAGGCAAGCAGCTGCTGGGGGCCTCCAGCTGCTGCTGCTGCTGCTGCTGCTGCTGCTCATTTTCTGCTGCCAGCAGCGGCCGCCGGAAGCGGTAGGCCTGGCCTTCGCCGCAGGGGGCCGAGCAGCTCGACCACTCCGACCTGCGCGCAAACCCTAAACCCTAAACCCTAAACCCTAAACCCTAAACCCTAGACCCTAAACCCCTAAACCCTAAACCCTAAACCCTAGCTGGTGCTGCCGCGGGCTGCGCGACTTGCGGGCTGCCGGCGTGGCTGCGCGCCCCGGGGGCGGGGAAGGGGGCCTGGGCCTCAAAACCCTGATTTAGGGTTTAGGGTTTAGGGTTTGGGGCTCTCACCACTGGCTGACGCCGCAGCGCGGCTCAACTTCCTTGCAAAGGACCAGAGCAGCAGCAGAACACTCCTCCTCTCCATCAGCAGCAGCAGCAGGCTGCAGCTGGTTGCCGCTGCAGTCGAAGGAATACAGCCCCTTTGTGTACGCCTTCACCACCAGCTGCTGCTGCTGCTGCTGCTGCTGCTGCTGCTGCTGCTGCTGCTGCTGCTCTTCGGTGCACACGCGCTGCAGCGTTTGCCTCCAGCCATAAGAGCTGCTCAGGGCCTCATCTCGAGAGCAAGGCTTCCAGCGGGAGGGGCAGCTGCAGCTGTTGTTTGCTGCATCATATCTCCCGCTGGGTGCATGTGCTGCTGCTGCTGCTGCTGCTGCTGCTGCTGCTGCTGCTGCTGCTGCGGAGTCGCCCGCGGCGTCGCTGGCCTGCTGCTCCGCAGCCTCTGCAGCGCCGCGCTCCGCTGCAGCAGCAGCAGCAGCAGCAGCAGCAGCTCTTCTGACAGCTCTCCGGAAGTCGACGGCGATGCAGGAGTCCGCGAGGATGTAGCCCTGCGTGCTGCTGCTGCTGCTGCTGCTGCTGCTGTCCCGCTTGCGCAGCAGCTGCAGCTGCCGCCGCCACCGCGTCTGCCCAAAAGAAGCACTAAGAGCTGCTTGAGTTAAAGCGGCCCCCACATCTCTTCTTGTGCGCACAGCGGGCAGCCCGGCCACTTTGCTGCTGCTGCTGCTGCTGCTGCTGCTGCTGCTGCTGCTGCTGCTGGCAGCTCGCGCTGCGCGGATGCCCGGGAAGTGCGTGTGCTTCTGATAAACCCCGCTCGAACTTGAGCTGCCTTCTTGCTGCTGCTGCTGCTGCTGCTGCTGCTGCGAGCTCGCAAACTGCAGCGACTTCAGTGTAGCTATGTTCGATAAATACTGGCGCAGAAACACAAGCCTCTGCTGCTGCTGCTGCTGCTGCTGCTGCTGCTCCTGTTGCTGCTGGTTTGTTGCAGTGTCGCTCTCACTTGCATGGCTCTGGTTGTCTTCCTCTTGCTGCTGCTGCTGCAGCTGCTGAAGCTGCTGCTGCTGCTGGAGCATGGAGAGCCGGGCCATTGCGCTCTGCAGCTTTTTGATTGCTGCTGCTGCCCCGCCACCATAGTCCTGCTGCTGCTGCTGCTGCTGCTGCCGCCGCCTGTGGGGCTGCTGCAGCTGCTGCGCACGCTGCATGCGCTGCAGCCGGTGGTTCAGTTCTGCATACATAAGGGCTGAGACTCCGTGCTGCGTTGCTGCACTGTTGCTGCCAACAGCAGCAACTAGCTGCACTGCGCTGCTGCTGCTGCTGCTGCTGCTGTCCTGCTGCAGGAAGCCCTGCACTGCAGCAGGAAGCATGTCCTCATCGTAGAGTGGAACTGGTTCTTTTGCTGCTGCTGCTGCTGCTGCTGCTGCGGCTGCTGCTCTGCGCCGAGCTGCAGCAGACGAACGCGCCGCTCGCGAGCGCGCCGCTAGGGTGCGGCTGGGCAGCAGCAGCAGCAGCAGCAGCGAAAGCAGCAGCAGCAGCAGACATCGCCGCTGCAGCTGCAAGCCATTCGTGGACATTTGTGCTGCTGTTGTTGTTGCTGCTGCTGCTGCTGCTCAGAATTTGGCCGCCGCCTCTGGGGAGGAGCTGCTGCTTCGCCTGATCTGCATGGCTGGCTAAAGCCCCTCAATGCTGCTGCTGCTGCTGCTGCTGCGGTCGTTGCTGCTGTGAGGCAGCAGCAGCTGCTGCTGCGGCTGCTGCTGCTGCCGGCTACTTGTGCTGCTGCTGCTGAGCAGCAGCAGCAGAATTAATTTGCTGCTGTTAAAGAAACTTAAAATTTTCAATGCTGCTGCTAACCGAGCTGCTGCTGGCCAGTGGGCCGCAGGCACCAGCGGCTTGATGAGGTCGCCGCAAGGAGCCTGTGGGCGCAGGTCTAGGGTTTAGGGTTTAGGGTTTAGGGTTTAGGGTTTGAAAAAACTTAAAGTTTGAATTTAGCAGTCTTTAAACTAATGGAAATAGTGCTGCAGCAGCTGCTGCCTCTGCTGCGGCCATTTGTGTAAGAGCCTCACCACCAGGGGGCCCCTGTGGACCATCGGCAGCAGCAGCAGCAGCAGCAGCAGCAGCAGCAGCAGCTGCTGCTGCTGCTTTCTTTAGCTTCATTTCCTTCAAAGAACTATTTTATTCTTGCCTTTTTCAAGGCAAAAAAGCTGCAGCAACTGCTGCAGCAACATGCAACAGGGGGGCCCCAGCTGCCCTTGGGGCCCCCATACCCAGTGGTTGAACCAGCAGCAGCAGCAGCAGCAGCAGCAACAGCAGCAGCAAAGATCTGCTGGCCCAGTATGCCATTCAACTTTCTTTATAGGCCAGCAACCTCCAACCGCCGGTGCTGCACTAGACATGCGGGAGCAACAGCAGCAGCAGCAACAGCAGCAGCAGCAACAGCAGCAGCAGCAGCAGCAGTGCTGCAACACTGAAAGCAGCCACAGGAGTAGCCTCTGAGCCGCAGCAGCTGACACCTTGCTTGAAAAAGGTGTGCTGCTGCTGCTGCTGCTGCTGCTGCTGCTTCTGAACTGCAGCGCCGCCACCATACTTTAGAAGGAAATGGCAGCAGCAGCGACAACAGCAGCAGCAGCGAGAACCGCAGCAGCAGCGAGAACAGCAGCAGCAGCAATGGAGTAGACCAACAATGTTCAAGCAGCCTACTACTGGCTTTGATAGTCTTGGCCTGTCCGCAGCAGCAGCACGGCGAGCAGCAGCAGCAGCAGCAGCAGCATCTGCAGCAGCAGCAGCAGCGGCAGCAGCAAGTAAAATATCAGCTGTGGGCTTTCCTAGAGAAGCAGCACGGCCCAAAGAGCTTTGATGAAAAGCCGTGGGACGAGCAGCAGCAGCAGCAACAGCAGCAGCAGCAGCAGCAGCAAAAGCAGCAGCAGCAAAGGCTGGTGCAGCAGCGACTGCAGCAGCTACGAGCGGACACGCGCTGCTGAGGAGTCTCTCATTGGCTTCTGAGTTCGGTTTCTTTAGGGTTTAGGGTTTAGGGTTTAGGGTTTAGGGTTTAGGGTTTAGGGTTTAGGGTTTAGGGTTTAGGGTTTAGGGTTTAGGGTTTAGGGTTTAGGGCCTGGGAAATCAGATAGAAACAGAGATAAAACAAAACAGCCAAGAGCACGGCGTGGGTCTCAAACCCTAAACCCTAAACCCTAAACCCTAAACCCTAGACTTTGTGGCTTCAAGAAGCAGCGAAAAAACCCACAGGGTTTGCGGCTGCTGCTGTGGGGAGTACCCTCAGCAGCAGCAGCTGCAGCAGCAGCAAGTCGAAACCCTCAAGCCTGGGGGT